TTCCTCCTACTTCTTAAACCTTTTATTACCTTTTATTCTCTCTTATTTACTTAAAACTTAGTAAGAAATGTGCCAGTAAATTGCAACACCTTAATTTTACTGTTTATGTCAACTCTGAGTGGAATTTTTTATGAAAATTATAACTTGTGTCATTTATCCATATAATAATTTTAGCAAATGTTTATATGTTTATTTCTGTTCATATTTCTAAAATAAATTACTTTATTAAGAAATCTGACCAGGTCACAAGTCGTTCATTTTCACTTCATGATCAGAGGGGTATTTCATTATTTACTGATTTCATTTTTTGCAAGGTCTTGCTGGATTACATTTATGAAAAATAGGCTGGTCCTAATTTCACGAAGTAATTCCTACACACTGAAGATCTGGTCCTCGACAGAGCAACACATACCTTATGTTAATGTCCTGGCTGTCTTTGTTTTGCATATTACCTTGTGCTTTTTTGTGTCCTGTGATCTCAGGAATTCTGCTGCTCTGGAGTTGCCTGTAAAAGGACTTACCTCTCACTCACCTGCCTATAAGTAGTGATGGCCAAATGAACCCTAATGAGGCAGCGAGGCTTTCCAGCCCATTGCTTTGCTGAAAGGTTCATTACTCTGTGCTTCTTTCCCTGCTCACTAGTGACCCCTGCTGCTAAACTGAAACTGACCGCAATGTCGCCCAAATAAATCACTTCCAAATATATTAGAACATAGCAGTGAGGTCAAACCCATGTGTAGTAAAAGGTCTATTGAACCCTTTTTAATGTCAGCTTTTTGTAGTTCTTAGTAAATTGTACCCAAAGTAATCCTGCCAATGACATCAGTTGTGGTTGTGCTTAATTTTAGCCATGTCATAGACTAATTTATGAAAAATTCTGGTACGTCTTGAGAATGGAGTGCTTGTTAGGATACTGTTTTGTGCTTGTGACTTGCTTCTGAAAACCTTTTTTTTTCAAATAATTTTTTCTGGGACTTATGGTTCGGATCCTTGGTACTAAGTTACAAACAGCCTAGAAAATTTGTAGCCTATTCCACACGTGGAGAGGGGTGGGGGGTGCAGGCAGAGGGGATGACAGCATCTGCAGCACAAAGCAGGAAAATTGTAACATTTGAAACCGAGTTTTTCAAAAAATCCATAAAACTTGAAAACATCTGTGAGATTGCTCCCTATAAGTTTCCTGCACGAGGAAAAATCTGTGTAAATTACAATTTGTACAACTTGACAGGTATAAATTTAACTCTTGTGCCTTGAAGCCTTGCTTCAGATGTCCCATCACTACCTGTAAGAATAACTTACCTGCTCAGTCCACCTGTTCGCCTGCCTCCTCTACTGGAAACTGGTCTCACTCTCCCTGTGGATCCAAACCTTCTCCTCCGAGCCAACCTGGTTCCTGTAAGAAAACCTACTGACCTGAATCATTACTCCAATATTCTCACCTGCAGAAACTCACATCTCCTTCCTTTACAGCTCTGGAATCCTGCTCACTGTAAATAAATATCACTCAAATCGCTCACCTTTGACTTACCTGAGAACCTGAAACACAATTCAATCTAAATTTCTGCAGTGACAGAACTACACAAAGGCCAACACAACAGATCACATCAGTCCTCTCGGTTCTAGAATCACCTCTAACAGGACTTCTAAATATGTTGACCCAAGCCTTGTAGATTTCTGCTGGCCAATCTTCTGTTATTTAATATTGCAGAACACAAAGTATTACTGGGCATTAGAATAACATCTAGGTTTCTTCACAAAGCCTCTGTGGTGCAAGTTTACCTGTCATACATGCATCAACTGGATCGTTCAAAGAAAACCATCCAAAACATATAAGTAGACAACGAAAAGATAAACTAGTGTTTGAATGTTTGCACCTCTACAACACTTTTTATTTTCTTTTTTTAAATGTAGCAGTAACGTGCTGAGCTGCAGCTGACTCATTGTGGTTTTACAGAAACATCAGTGTTTAGGAGACAGTGTGATATAGGACACACAGAAGTTTGTATGATCTGAAACAGGAAGCAGGTGGGAATGTACTTTAACACCAGGTTTGAACTATCAGCTGCTAAACGAAGCTTTAGGGGAGCTGCCAAGTTGTGTTTTTGGATCCAGTTTCTGCACATTAGGGATGTGATGCAAGTCCTGCTTAGGACCATGCAAAACATCATGGTAAGCAACAGTAAAAATCACTAATACTGTATATAACACATTTACATGGATTTTATTCACTGAATTTTTACTGTTTTGCAAGTTACTAAACAGTGCAGCTAAACGTTTCTTATGAAAGCCCTAGACAAGATATAAGCAATTAAACCAAACAGATTTTAGGCTCATTTCATAAAATTCCAGCAGTATTTAAACATTTTATCAGGAACTGTATCTTTTGTGAGGCCAAAGGTCACAATTTCAGTTACTGCTTTCCACCAATTTATTTATTTTGTTTCAGTCTTGTTAGGAATTATTTAATGTAAGTGTTAAGATTGTTGTTTGCGATATTTAAAATTCAGTTACTCCATTTATATTATTGCTTCTTCCTATCAGGGTCACTGGTGCTCATATCCAGCAGTCACTGTGCGAGGAGTGGAGACGCCCTGGACAGGTCGGTCCATCATAGGGACACATACAAGAATGGCTCCACAGTCACCAGATCTCAATCCAGTAGAGCACCTTTGAGATGTGGTGGAACAGGAAATTCATATCATGGATGTGCAGCCGACAAATCTGCAGCAACTATGTGATGCTATCATGTCAATATGGACCAGACTCTCTGAGGAATGTTTCCAGAACCTTGTTGAATCTATGTCACGAAGGATTAAGGCAGTTCTGAAGGCAAAAGGCAGTCTAAACTGGTACTAGCGTGGTGTACCTAATAAAGTGTAGATCTTACTGCCTGCCTCTCATTAAAAAGGTTTGCTAATTGTGGGATTTGATTGAGGAGAAACACTGAAACAAGAGCACAGAACAACTATGTGCCCTATCCTACAAACTTTCTGCTTTGGTAGATCATCAGTACTGAAAACACACAGACTCAAATGCTGGGGGATATAAGTCGCAAACTAGACGTGATTCTGACGAGAATCACAGCTCAGCAGCATGCCCATGAGATGTAGGATTACACCTGGGTGAAGTTTCAGTCGGAAAGAGAGGCGAGGAGGTTATGAATTCGGAACATTGGCATTTTCTCCATCACAGAGATGCAGTTACAAACTTTAAAGCAGCAAGAAAATCAAGGCTGCTTGTCCCAAAACAATTATGTTTATCTTTTGGATCCCTGCAGCTGCTGACCTTGGTTCGGCAGTTATCAAACACCCTGGATGACACGTGAGACAGAGGCTCGACTCCCCATTCTCCTTCCCCGTATCATCTGTGTTGGATCAGTCTAAAGGCCACTATGGGTGGAGACAGAGAACTGACTCTGGTGATTTGTGCTTGGGTTGATAACAACTGGTTTTGGACTCTGAAGGTCTTTGATTGGTTCCAGCACAGAGTATTAACCTTAAATGTCACTGGCTCTGCTGCATCCCACCCCATTCCATGTGTTTGATCCCCAGCCCCATCCCTTCCTTAGCTGCCTTGCACTGTACGAGTGGTTTATTTGAGCGTATGATTCTGTTTCTGTGTAAACATAGTATCAGAGCATCTTTTTTTAAACTAATCTTTCCTATTGTGTGTATTCCAAGTTGCAAAAGGTAGCGCGACCATGTTGCAAATGACCTGAACATCCGTTCTCCCCAGTGTTTGTTATGTGTGTGTAATAAGAATGGGTGTTCTTAACTGCAAGTTCCTAGTCTGTGTTTATCACTGACAATGGCAATAAAACGGATTCTGATTCTGGTCCTTAATGATCTAATATCCTGTCTCCCACCACTACTGCCTGTGTACTTTTTACTTGGTAACACAGGCAAAGTTGAATGACAGGTGAGGCACTGGGCCTGTGTCTGCTCTCCTAACCTGCCCTGGTTGATGTTGATGCTGTTGACGTTGTCAGCACAGATGGCGATCTTGGTCAGAGTTTCAATCACGTGGTCGCTCTGCAGAATGACGTCGCCCTGAGGGACAACCAGACACCCAGAATGAATCAACTGCCCGACATGAAAACCTGCACGTTCAGCGCTGTCACTTGGCTTCACCTTCTGTTTGTTGTCCTCACTGGGCACGTGAAGAACAAACAAGCCGTCACTGAGAGAGCTGACGGAGATGCCTGAAGAGAAAATATAAGTGAGGAACCAGAGGAACTTTACAGTGATGCAGCTAAATCTAGGGCTGCAACGATCAATCGATTAATCGACGACTAATCGATTATTAAAATAATCGATAACTAATTTAATAATCGATTAATCGTTTTCTTTTCTTCTTTTTTTTGTTCTTTACTTTGTTTTTCTCTCCAAACTGCTTTGACACATTCCACTGCCACATCTACCTTTCTGTCCTTGACACACATGCACAGTAGTGGTAACTGGGGTAGGCCGTGGACGTCACAAGACATTATACAGACAGGCTCTGGTGTCATGGCTACCTGACAACAGAGCTCAAAGTGTGGGATCATTTTAAGAAAATGAAAGAGAAACCTGTGTAATATCTGCAGAGCAGAACTTACCTTCCACAGCAATTATTTTTAGCTAAAATCTAACGATGGTTATACGTTTAATAGCAGCTGCATTCTGGCACGATAAGCTCTATGTTTTATATTCAATTAATGTGTGATCTGATTAGTCGACTAATCGAAAAATATAATCGGTGATTAATCGATTATAAAAATAATGGTTTGTGGCAGCTCTAGGGTCAAACAATGTTTTAGTCAAACAGAACCAACAAGAATGAAACAAAAGTAAAGAATTAGAGAAAAAAATGTTAAATGTAAATAAATAAATTCTAATTATAATAAATTAATAATAGTTTTACATCTAAAAATCATATTTTATTATTTTAATCTATTTTCCTCATT